CGAGAATGATTCCGACCTCTACCACTGTCCACTCCGTCTTCATCAAGAAGCTGAGCTATCCTTTGTCTAACCGTTCAGATGAACTTTGGATCGTGGAAAGGACACTTGATGGTCTTGAAACGTGGAAACCAGTGGAAACATTCCTGGAGAACATGCACCTCACCAACGACCAGGCAACCTTGCGCACTACAGCTAACCATTGGCGCAGATACTATGATGTACCAATTCAACCATCATCCTCCTCCCCTACGGCAACTACTGTTCCCGTTTTACCACACCCTGAACACTCCAACGTCCATGTCTCACAGCCGTACGAAGCGATACCGGACCACCTCCATATTTTACAGTCATGCTGGGGACGCTCCGCCCAACACCATTCTCAAGGAACCACTACCTCTTTATATTGGCCACCTTGGCGGTCTACACCACCGTCCTCCCCACCGGCAACACTACACCGTACTGTATATCTCACTCGCCCCGCTGTCCCTCCTCAACAAGTACATGGTCCGTTGGATGCGAACGATATTGACCCGATGGATATGTCGGATTCAAGTGTGTAATATACCACATTCTTTGTCGGCGGAAAAAAGACCTGTGATTCATCGTCTCTTTGTGTGACCATTTACTAGGTACACCGTTTCTCTTTTATTTCTAACACTTTGTGCTTGTTCCTGTGGCTATTCCAACCCATTTTGCAGCTTGGGCTTTGCGCTTTATCCTCGATACTTCACATTCGACGCAATGGCTCGTTCTTCTCGACCCAATCCATATCGCGCCACATCTACGATTGAGACACCGCTTGGTACACGAACCGTTGGGTGGATTGCTGGACATCGAGGCCTCCCTGGTGATGTGAACCCTCCTCCAAACAGACCTGTCCTTATCTTGGTTGACTTCTCTCCCTTACAGGCATTGACTCACCGAAGCGAACCTGACCGTGAACACTACATGGCTTTGGTGAACTCCAATTTTAGACATGTCAGTGGCTTTGAACTTGCAGCTTTGTTTACCTGGTCACGTCAGATGGAACCAGTTGAAGCCGGCCTCATCCCGATTGCCGAACTCCGCTTTTGTATCTCCAAAAGATTGAGGTCCCAATGGGACATCCAAATTGATCCCTCGAACCTGGAGTTTCGCTTTTGCGACTTGGACGGTGATACATTCCAAGTTTCCAATGATATGACGGTCTTGCAGCTTTTGGAGGCATACCGACCTGAGTGGCGACTTCGGCAGTACAATTCCCGCGAATCCTCTTTCCTCATCCCGGGTACCAGACAGCCTTTCGTACTACGCTTGAAATGCTACAAAATTAGCTCCGGTGTGATCCTGCCCTGATGCACTAGCCGGCCAAAAAAGACCATGCTACAGGGTTTTCAATTCCTCCTTGACACCCCACTAACACAAAGGATTTTTCGATTTCTATTTTATTTGACTTGGAGCTGTGGCTTCTCCGTCGCAACTGACCCACTTGATTGAGGACTGGATTTCACTTTTTTCATTTTTGTGAATATTATCAATTTCGGGATTGGCTTTCTTCTGCAATTCTTGATGCTTCAGCCGTTGTTGCACTATTTCTCGTATTTGTGACAGTTTCACCCATGGAACACAAACGAGACGCGACCGTGGCGGGCTTGTCTTGGCCTGCGAACTCTACTCGTGGACTCGCTCCTACCGACCCAGTTCAAGTACCAGACGCCTCGACTTCTGCACTATGTCACTCAGGAGCTCCCGACACTACGACCAACCCTACTCCGGCACCTTTGGTAACTGACAGTACGGCACCTGCTACGGGTACACTGGCCCATTCTGATACATATTCAGGACCAGCACCTCCTGGCGTTCCATTTCCGACAGACTCAAGTTCTACACACAACTACTTCCATCGTGTTCAGTTCTCTTCTCGCGTGGTTCACCAGATCCAATTCAAGGTCTTTACCCACTCCAACAACACCAGGGAGCTATTCATTGAAGAAATTCCTTTGTTAGGGCATTCCCGATGTCGTGACCCTGAACACTATTTCTATGGTCTCTCCGGCAACTGGGAGTGGTCCCTGCGCACAGCGGACTATTGGCGACATCATTTTGAGATTCCCCTTGTACATGGACACCATCCTTTTCACAATGTGCCCATTGAGACGACATCTCCTGGAGATGAACCAAGGCTGACCACCCGGATCCATGAATTAGCCAAAGATCTATCTGACACCTTGAAGGCTGCTACGGCATCGGGGGAATTCGATCAGACTTGGGCGATGGTTGAACGCATGAGCTTCCACGATGCTATGGAAGTCCTTCTACAAGCTCCGAATTCCTCTTCTGACTGAAGTGACCGCCCTTTTGTACATTAGGTTATTACAGGTTCACTTTCACTGGTGTCTTGCCGATTCCGCCAGCGAAGTTCTTCCAAAAAACCGACCTCGCTACATGCGAGGTGTGTGTGTGTACCATCTGAACAGATGTAAAACTTCTGATTGGTTTTCACTAATTTGCAGGGGGCACCTGGAGCATGGATAGGTCAGGTGCCAACGAAGACACCTATCCAATGCTTGTGATATCACGGCTGATCACCGTGACGTACCTGCCAATTTACTGAAATGGGAAGAGGCTCAACCCAAGAACCTCCACGTCGTCCATTTGAAATTTCAATTTACTGCACTGTTGACGCAATCTGGAATCAATTTTGACATTTACATGCATCAGAACCTTCCTCAGATTTTCGCCGAAACCATATCGCCGACAGTATTATGTTTTTTGACTTATTTTCGCCGAGATCCTGTCGCCGACGAACTATGGGTTATTTTGGGAAACAATCGCCGAAACATTATTTTGGATTTCAACATGCTGGTCAAAACTCTATGGAATCTGGTTATGACTACGTTTGACAATTTCGGATGCCCTACATCGTTTGCGAGAAGTACCTCATGTGGCTCTTTTATTCATCTAATAATCTAGGCTGGTTTGCATGTTTCAGGATTCAGTTCCTGCCGGATCATATAATGATCCATTCTTGTCTAGTGTGTGTGAAGTGAAAGTTGTGTGTGGAATAGAGCGTGTGACACAGTTCTGTGTGAAAGATGGTGTGTGACAAAGTGGTGTGTGAAAGGTGGTGTGGCGAAAGATGGTGTGCAACAAAGTTGTGTGTGTGAAAGAAGGTGTGGTGAAAGATGGTGTGTGACAAAGTTGTGTGTGAAAGATGTTGTGACAAAGATGGTGTGTGACTGACAAAGTGGTGTGTGTGACAAAGTGGTGTGAAAGATGGTGTGTTAAAGCTGGTGGGTGACAAAGTGGTTTTTGAAAGATGGAGTGTCACAGATGGTGTGTGACAGAGTTGGGTGTAAAAGATAGTGTGTGAAAGATGGTGTGTGAAAGATGGTATGTGACAAAGATGGTGTGTGAAAGAGGGTGTGTAAAAGATGGTGTGTGACAAAGCGGTGTGTCAAAGATGGTGTGTGACAAAGTTGTGTGTTGAAGATGGTGTGTCAAAGATGGTGTGTGTGACAAAGTGGTCTGTCAAAGATGGTGTGTGACAAAGTTGTGTGTGAAAGATGTTGTGTCAAAGATGGTGGGTCCAAGCGCGCTGCCAGAGCCAGCCCAGTGCCATAAGTGCCACGCCTGCCACGTGAAACGAAAGTAGATGTTTCCAAGTGCCACGTGAAACGAAGGTGGATGTCGCCAAGTGCCACACCTGCCACGCAAAGTGCCGCGGCGTCGCCGGCGAGTAATCCCAGCCGAAGCGCGCCACCAGAGCCAGCGCAGTGCCATAAGTGCCACGCCTGCCACGCAAAACGAACGTGGATGTCTCCAAGTGCCACGCCTGCCACGTGAAACAAAGGTGGATGTCGCCAAGCGCCACGCCTGCCACGCAAAGTGCCGCGGCGTCAGCGGCGACTAATCCCAGCCCAAGCGCGCCCAGTGCCATAAGTGCCACGCCTGCCACGTGAAACGAAAGTAGATGTTTCCAAGTGCCACAAATGAAGGTGGATGTCGCCAAGTGCCACGCCTGCCACGCAAAGTGCCGCGGCGTCGCCGGCGACTAATCCCAGCCGAAGCGCGCCACCAGAGCCAGCGCAGTGCCATAATTGCCACGCGTGCCACGCAAAACGAAGGTGGATGTCACCAAATGCCACGCCTGCCACGCAAAACGAAGGTTGGAGGTCATCAAATGCCACGGGAAGATGGTGTGTGACAAAGTTGTGTGTGAAAGATTGTGTGTGAAAGATGGTGTGTGACAAAGATGTGTGTGAAAGATGGTGGGTAACAAAGTTCTGTGTGAATGATGGTGTGTGACAAAGTTAAGATGTGTGTGAAAGATGGTGGGCAACAAAGTTGTGTGTGAAAGATGGTGTGTGACAAAGTTGTGTGTGAAAGACCGTGTGTGAAAGATGGTGGGTAGCAAAATTGTGTGTGAAAGATGGTGTGTGACAAAGTTGTGTGTGAAAGATGGTGTGTGAAACTGTGAAAGATGGTGTGTGTGAAAGATGTGTGTGAAAGATGGTGTGTGACAAAGTTGTGTGTGAAAGATGATGAAAGATGGTGTGTGACAAAGAGGCGGAGGAGAAGGAGGAGGCGGGATACAGAATCAAAAACAAGAACCCCACACAAAGATGTGGGGAAAAAGACAGAAAGAAAGCAAGAAAGCAAGAAAGAAGAAAGAAAGGGGGAGAGAGAGAGAGAGAGACAGAAAGAAAGAAAGAAAGAAAAGAAAGAAATAAAGAAATTAAAGAAAGAAAAAAGAAAGAAATTAAGAAACAAAGAAAGGAAAATAAGGAAAGAAAGAAAGAAATAAAGAAAGACAGAACCACATAAAGACATAAAGAAAGGAACACATAAGAAGAACCAGAGAGAGGGAGAGAGGGAGAGAGGGAGAGAGAGAGGAGGAGAGAGGGGGAGAGAGGGGAGAGTGGTTAGGGAATGGCCATTAGCCACGTTATTCCTCTGGTTGTTTGTTTGCGGACAATAAACTGTAGGTTTGCGAAGAAGTGCTGTGAGTAGCCAAAGCTCCAGGATTTCACGCCCTCGGAACAGCAATTCGCTACGAATGCAACCCTGGGGTGTCCCGGCTTGGATTCAGGGAAGTTTGCGCCAGGTTAGCTGCAATATGTCATGGTGAATTGCTGGCGGCAGGTTAGTGATCAATTTGTTTAATTTATACTGATTCATGTTTTTATTTTTATTTGGCCTTGCATTTGTTGTGCTCCACGGCCAATCAAAGGGGCCTAATTGAAGCAGGTCGACAAGTAGCAACGAACGTGGGTCTTTACCGCATATAGAACTGGATGTAATTGGCACCATCACATCACTTTTTTTGCGGTGGCTATAACCGTCGGCCCTGGAAGTTACGGGGGATGCACTTTGACATGTGGTGGACATGAGCATGGTTGACTGTATGGTCCAAGCTGCTTGTCGCCAACATTCCTTCCTGTCGCAACATGTCCGCATACTTTGGACTTTGGACAAACTAATTTTCAGCTCTTGCTTTTTCATGACAATCCCCAGAAGGAAGTGGCTAGATGTGGCTAGCAACTTTGCAAAAGCCCGTGAAACATGGGACCGTTTTATGTTTTGGTGACCAGCCATTTGCTACTGACATGCCCATCCAAGCAGTGATCTTTGACCACAGCGCTTGAGGATCCTGATGCTTATGGCAGTGGGCATTTGCGGTTTGATTTTGTACAACAGCTGCATCGCGGTCGCAAGTCTTATGGGCTACAGCAGACTCGTCCAGTGTACGGGAAGAGGCAGCAAAGAGGAACTCACAGCGGCGTTGAAACTCAGCTACAATGGTTATTTTTGGTTCTTCCCCTTTCTGCGGGGAAAAGTTGAAGCCGGCGAACCCGTTCTTTGTACCATAGTGTCCCTTCATAGTGCGAACATGATATGGTACGCATGGATTGCCAATCTCAAAGCTTCACCCTTCTTTGGTGCTTTCAGCTAGAGGAGTTCAATCGACAAGGGGTATATAATTCTTTGCTTTTTTCTTTCTTTGCAACATAAAAAAGACTTGAACTCATGATTTGTCCCCTTGCCAGATGAGGGTCTGGGACACAGACGCACGGATACTACACGCCTCATCGCCAGTTTCATTGCTATCCTCATGCGTACGACCACTATGGCCAGCTTGTTTCGGCTTCCCGGGACCCGAGCACTATAGATAGAACGCCAGATTTAAAAAGCCAAAGAGCATGCCAGATAGAAGGCCTGATAGGATGTCAGATAGAATGGCAGAAGGACTGCAAGATGGAATGCTTGAAAGACTGCCGGATAGAATGTCAATTCGGAATGTCAGATAGGAATGCGGGATAAAATGCATTAAACTGTCAATTAGAAAATTACTTTACTTCGAGTTATCCCCACCATGACATTTATACGTTTTGTTACTGGCAAATCTTCTGGCATTCTATCTGACATATCTTCTGGCATTTTATTTGGCATGTCTTCTGGCATTCTATCTGGCATACCTTCTGGCATTCTACCTGGCATATCTTCTGCAATATGTTCTGGCATATCTTCTGGCACTCTATCTGGCATATCTTCTGGCATATCTTCTGAAATTCTATCTGGCATTCTATCTGGCAAATCTTCTGGCATTCTATCTGGCAAACATTCAGGAACTTTATCTGGCATACTTTCTGGCATTCTATCTGGCATATCTTGTGGCATTCTATCTGGCATATCTTCTGGCATTTGATCTGGCATATCTTCTGGCATTCTATCTGACATTCTATCTGGCGTTCTATCTGACATATCTTCTGGCATGCTATCTGGCATATCTTCTGGCACTCTACCTGGCATATGTTCTGGCATATCTTCTGGCATTCTATCTGGCATATCATCTGGCAAAGTTTCTGGCATTCTATTTGGCAAACATTCTGGCACATTACCTGGCATATCTTCTGGCATTCTATCTGACATTTTATCTGGCATTCTATCTGGCATACCTTCTGGCATTCTATCTGGCATACCTTCTGACATTCTATCTGGCATATCTTCTGGAATTCTATCTGGCATATCTTCTCGCATATGTTCTGGCATATCTTCTGGCATTCTATCTGACATTCTATCTGGCATATCTTCTGGCATTCTATCTGGCCGTTGAGGTCCAGCGGTGCGCACTGAGCTGGGAAGGTCCCAAGTTCAGGTCCAGCTGTGCGCACTGAGGTCGGAAGGTCCCAGATTGAGGTCCAGCAGTGCGCACTGAGGTCGGAAGGTCCCAGGTTGAGGTCCAGCGGTGCGCACTGAGCTGGGAAGGTCCCAGGTTGAGGTCCAGCGGTGAGCTGGGAAGGTCCCAGGTTGAGGTCCAGCGGTGCGCACTGAGCTGGGAAGGTCCCAGGTTGAGGTCCAGCGGTGCACATTGAGCTGGGAAGGTCCCAGGTTAGGTCCAGCAGTGCGCACTGAGCTCCGAAGTTGGCGAAGAGCTTGGCCAAGAGTTGGCAAGGCAACAGTGGACGTGGAAGTGGAGGCAGACATGGTCGAGGAGAAACTGGAGGAGGAGGCGGAGGAGGAGGAGAAGGAGGAGGACAACAGCTCTGATAAAATCTAACAACCCTCACCTGGCAGGTGGGGAATCAGAATATGTCAGATAGAATGCAGTAAATATGTCAGATAAACTGCCAGGTAGGAATATCAGATAGGAATGCCGTATTGGAATAATGCCAGATAAAATGTCGGAATCTAGGTCAGATAGAATGTCAGCCTATATTTCAAATAAAATGTTCGTAGAATGCCAGATTAAATGTAAGAACATTGTCAACATATATGCGCCGTTGGGGACCCCACAGAGGAAAGTAAATTTATGTTTTCCTCTGTCAGGTGAGGGTTTGTAGACTTTGTGTCAGCTTCTCCTCCACCGCCCTGTCACACCGGACGTCGATCTCATGGCAAGCTCTAGGGCTTTGCGTGGCGCACAGGATGCGGAGCTTCCGGGCTATGCGCGACCCAGACTATACACCACTGAACATGTCAATTGGTTTTTGCCCGAGCAGATGCCACCTTGTCACATAGAACATGTATCTATATGTCAGGGCTGGTGTGAGAACAGATGTCAGAAGATGTGTCCTGGTGCATTGGCCAGGGCAAATGCGAGATTATATGTTACGCGAATTCTCCTCAGACCAAATGTAAACACCAAAGGTGATTTCGGTATGTTTGCCTTCATTTTTTTTTCGGGCGACATGCCAACCTAGATGTCCGAGAATATGTAAACAGAAATGCGACATGTGATGTTTGGTTATATATGTCAGGAAAGGTGTTTCTCAGATGCCTTTCTGCCAGGACATTCTTCTTGCAGCAGGGATCAAGCAAAGTAGGGTAATCTTCTGCGCATCTATGAAAGTGGACACCTCACAGAAAAAGGCAGTACCCTCTGGTAAACTAACATAACTATATATATATATGGACTATATGGATAATCCCTATTTTCATGGGAAAATTTACTATAAATTGCCATTTTCAATAGCTATGTTAGTCATTACAAGAGGGTGTCATGAACTTTGTTGCCCCATCTTTAAAAGTCATGCGACTCACGCGATGCACATGCACGCTTCACACGGGCCCATAAAACATCAGATGTTTTTCTCATCTTGACCAAATCTAAAAGAGGGATGCACAGCTTGGTCCCTGTTTTTCTTGGCCAACAGGTCGCATGTTTTTCCTTGCGTGGGGGCCGTGATGTGAGCACTTCCAATGCCAGGAAGTCGTGTGCAGAGAAGCTGCTTGAGCTGGAAAAAAAAGATTTGGAGAGCAGTTTGGAGAGCTTCACTGACCATGACATCAAGGCCTGGATCTGTGGGTAAAGCCCTGGAGAAGGTTGGGCGGGTAAGCCTGGGAACCGAAATCATGTGATGTGCAAAAGAAGGCGTGGGAAAGTTGTTTCAATGCTTGAAACCAAGCCATTGACAGCAAATCGCACAACCAGGCCTGTTTACAAACAACAAGACAAGATCTCTTATATAATCGGGCACCTATCATGGCAAGGCAATTTGATGTTAGATCTATTGTTCTCGTCCCTTAGATAGGGTCACACACTGACAACAGACAGATTTCGTAGGTTCACCATACCATTACCACCAAAGGCAAGGATCAAATGCCCGACCAAAAATTGCGCGCTTGAAAACTTTGGAATCAAAATGCACAGAAACCGGCAGGACAGACCATAGGGCTTAAACATTTTGGATTGCTGAAGTTGTATGGCAGACATGGTCCAACACAAAAATTAGGATGAGAATTATCAGTGGGAGACGGCCAGGAATGTTTTTTTGAACCTCGGATTCTTGTTGATAATGTTGTCGCCAGCTGCATCGGATCGTCTAAGATCCGCCAAGGCTTAAGGCACAAACAACAAGCCTTTTGTAATCAGACGTCTCTTTTGACAAATGCCCTAGCACGATCTCATGGGTGTGGGAAGCACTTCTCCCCCAAAACACGCAAGGCTTTGGAAAACACCATTGCCATTGTGTCAACAGAGCTACACGATGGACGCTGGGTCCCTCGGCGCGAGGTTCGGTTGCTGGAAGAAATAGCGAAGTGACCAGCAATACAGTACATGAATGAATGTGAGTAGCGGGATTCGTTCCGAAGGGGTTAAAGTCTAGAGTGTTGACATAAAGCTTGTCTCAGCACAGAAGATAAATTGCTCACGATGGCGGATGGTCACACACGCAGGGATTATCTAATTATCGGTCCAAATGCATCCAAATCCATTTAGATATACCGCAACATTCTTTCTGCCTTCACACATTTTTTTTCGCTAGAATTTGGGGAGCAACGCCGTTGTGAAAAACAATTTTGAACGACAAGATTTGAACCCATTCGGAAATCATCAGCTGCATGTACATACATACATGCATCCATACATACGTACGTACGTACGTATGTACGTACGTACGTACATACACACATACCTAAGTACACACATACATACATACATACATACATACATACAAACATACATTGTATACCTACATACCTACATACCTACATACCTACATACCTACATACCTACATACCTACATACCTACATACCTACATACCTTCAATTTACATACCTTCAATTTACATACCTACATACCTACATACCTACACATACATACACATACATACATATATAAATATACATACATACATACATACATACATACATACACAATCACACATACACACATACATACACATACATACACATACATACACATACATACACATACATACACATACATACACATACATACATATATATATACATACATAGATAGATACATACATAGATAGATACATACATACACACATACATACATACACATACACATAGACATACACATACATACACATACATGCACATACATACACATACATACGCATACATACACGTACATACACATACATACACATACAGACACATACAGACACATACATACACATACATACATACATACACACACATACCTACGTACACACACACATACATACATACATACATACATAAATACATACCTACGTAGACACATACATACACACATACATACATACATACATACATGCATACACATGCATACACATGCATACACATGCATACACATGCATACACATACATACACATACATACACATACATACACATACATAAACATACATACACATACATACACATACATAAACATACATACACATACATACACATACATACACATACAATACATGCAATACATGCATGCAATAGATACATACAATACATACATCCATACATACATTATACATGCATGCATGCATACAGACACACACACAGACAGACAGACAGACAGACAGACAGGCAGACAGACAGGCAGGCAGGTAGGCAGGCAGGCAGACAGACAGACAGACATACATACATACAAACACATGCTAAAGACTAAAGACTTTAATAGCCTTTGCAAGTGGCAATCGGCTTCGGAATCAAAAAACCTAAGGCTTCCCGTTTGTCACCTGATCACCCACTCAGTTTTTTGAACTCACTTTTTGACTGAGATTCGAACAATCGTGCCCATTCACGTGCTCGACAGTGTTTTTTTTGATTTGGATCGGGGACATAAGTTTGATTCGTGGTTCTAGTGGGGCTTATGGCTTTTGACACACAGCGCTAAATGCTGCGGTCATGAAAAAGTGGTTGGGACAGCCAGAATTCAAATTATAGATTCGGAGAAAAATGGACACTTGATCTTGGGTTGAGACTATGCGTGGGCGTGCAAGCGAATGTGGTGTGGCATCCTTGCTGCTGCACCACGACAGTCCCCATGAGCGTATGAGTATGTTTTGGAACGGGTGGCCCTGCCTCTGCAATTTCCCTTCGATTCATGCGAGGCTTTTTTCAAGCCCCGACTGTCTCTGGAAGCAATGAACCTTGGGCTTGGTTAGCCAGCATTTGTTTTGCCTGGGCGATCATCCGGATCTTCAAAATCATGGTCGGTTGTTCCTATTCATTACTTATCCTTCATAATTAACCATTTGCTTTTGTGGCTTGTGATGCCGCTGCTGCTTGTTTTTCAAACGCGAGCTGCAACCGCCGCAATGCCTATAAGGAATTCAAGAATTGCTTCAGCAGGGGCCCCATTCCAACCAACGGATGCTCGGTTCCAAATCCTTGCAAACAAGCAGGCTAGCCACCTTCGGTGCCGTCATTGTCGCATGCATTCACACGTGGAAGCTACAAAGATTTTCCAAATTTTCATATCTGATTGGACATGTCCATGTCCATGGTTGCTTCAAGCTTGCGCAACCTAATCCCTTCTTCCTATTGGTACTAAGCGTGCCGCCCAAATATAGATATAGAAACCTGCGGGTAGTTTCATTATTAATGTAGTATCCCGATTAGTGTGGTGATTCCGTATTGTGTCAAGTTTTCCCAAAATAATTCTGAATCAGTGTGCTTGTTGGGGTGGGTCGGTATTGTGGCAGTTTTTTTCTGAGGCCAGTTTTTTGGTTCAGCATTTGTTTCAATTTATTTTTCACGTCTGGAGTTTCTTCATTTTATTAAAGGTAATTAACTGAACAATTAAATTAATTCATTAGCTATTTTAGTAGTTCAGTTCATTATTTAGTTAATCAATCAATTATTGAAATATATAAGTTATTTAATGCAAATTGCAACATGTTTTTGAACATGCAAAAACATAATTATAGGATACCTTTTTAGACCCAATAAAAATTGAACCCAAGCAATTTTTCAAAGGGGCACCCCATCAGCAAGATTGATCTTCAATAGTATGTTTGTTGTGGTGGTCCTCTATTGTGTTCAGCTTTTTTTGAAGCGTTTTTGTTTCCAAAATCTGTTTCTCTTTTCCTTTGCTATAGCTTTTGTCTCTTACTTAGTTCAATTCTCCTGGCATCCTCTCCTTGATGTCTATGGTGTTTCTAACGGGGTGTCCATGGTATTTCTATGGGATTCCTCTGGGGTCTCAAAAGGATGTCTGTGGTTTTTCTATGATATTTCTATGGGATTCCTTTGGGACTTCCATGATATTTCTTTGGGATTTCTTTGGGATTTCCATGATATTTCTATAGGATTTCTTTGGGTTTTCCATGATATTTCTATTGGATTTCTTTGATATTTCTATGAGATTGCTATGGGATTAAAAAATGATTTCTATTATATGTCTATGATATTTCCATGGTGATTTCTGTGGGGTTTCCGTGGTATTTCTATGATATTTCTACGGGGTTACTGTGGGATTTCTAAAGCGATGTTGATTGTATTTCTATGGGAATCCTATGTGGTTTGAAAAAGATGCCTATGGGATTTCCATTGGGTTTCTATCAGATTTCTTTGGGATTTGTATGATGTTTCTATGGGATTTCTATTGGGTTCCTGTGTGATTTCTATGGGATTTCCATGATGGTTCTTGGGAATTTCTCTGGGATTACAAAGGGGTGAGATTTCCAGTGGATTTCTATCAGATTTTTATGTGATTTCTTTGGTTTTCTATGAATTTTCTATCGGATTTCTCTCGGATTCTTCTGGGATTCCCATGGTATTTCTTTTTGATTTCTATGATATTTCTATGGAATTACTATCTGATTTCTATGGGATTCCTCTGGCCTTCTTATGGGATTTCCATGATGTCTCTAAGATATTTCTATGGGATTGCTATTGGATTTCTGAAGGGATGCTATGGGAATTCTATGGTATTCTAATGGGCTTTCCATTGGATTCCCTCGGGATTTCTATGGTATTTCTATGGTGTTTCTATGGGAGTTCTCTGAGATTCCTATGGGATTTCCATGATATTTCTTTTGGATTTCTTTGATATTCCTATGGGATTACTATGGGATTTCTATGGGATTCCTATGGCATTCCTATGGGAGTTCCATGATGTTCCAATGATATTTCCATGGGATTATATACTCTGCATGGGATTTCTGAGGGTTCACACCAAAAGGATCCAAGAGGCATCCTACCCAATCGAATGTCAAAATTGCTGAAACATCCGCTCGGGCAATTTATGCGAAAATCTCACTTGTTTTTGGCGATAACATCCAAAAGTTGGAAAGAGGCGAAACAAACAAAAAATCTTGAGATTTCGAAGGTCCAGGAATCGGTCCCGCCCAGCTAGTCTTTTGATCTGATAATAAAAAGGTGAAACCTTCAAATGGTATCTTGATTTTTCAAATGTTGTCTAAAGGGTGCCAATTTCAAAATCAATTTGACCAACCGGGAACCTCCCAACAAGAACAAACTGTTTTAAGATCATTTAGGGGAGCTTCAATATCGGGAAGAAGGGACCAGAGCATCAAAGAGGGTGATAGTTCAGTCAGTGGTTTTCAATGTTTTTCCCGGAGAATGTGTATTTTCTTGGGCTCCGAATGCACGCGAAGGCCAGGATTCTGTGGGCGCGCCCGTCTGTTTTTTTTTCTGATTAAATGCGCCCAGTCAGTCAGTGTCTTGCTGGTCCGAAGGTTGTTTGCGTGTCTGTGTTTAGCATTCCCCAGTTCCTGTCAGTCTGCACCCGGGCTCCGCCCTTCTTTCAGCGACGGATGGTCTTGCACCGGGCCAGTTCCAGAGTTTGATAGTAAATCATCAAAAAGCAAAACAAAAAGTTGCAGTCCTATGATCAGGATCGTGTGTTTCCCAGCCTGGCCATGGAAGTTTCCTACCTCCCCCCTGTTTGCTGAAATCAACTCTGTCATCGTGAGCTTGAAACCTAGCATGTGCGGGCCTGCGGTCCTTCTATCTGCCCTGAGTCTCGAGAATGGGTAAAAATTATTGTTTTAGTGATTTACTAATTTGAAGCAATTTATTGTATGTTTCCCTCGAAATTGGGTTCAAAAAATGCATTTTGCAAAATTATCCTTTGTTAGTCTTTGAGAACAGCCAGATGTTTATTTGGTTTTTCAGTTCCTTTAATATACCTATTGTTTTTGTTAAGAATTCGAGTTTGGGTGAACAAAGTGAAGTGCTAGAAATTAATATTTTGGTGGGGTTAGGGGGATAATAACATGTTTTGGTTGTAGAAAT